GCAAAAGAAAAAGCCCTGAAACAGAGAGAAGAGGAGACATGTAGAGAGAGCCAGCAGGGGAATCTGATAATGAAAACCTAGTGAGAGTAGGGACAGCGGGGGAATCAGAAGATAAAAAACCCAGCGAGAGCACACACAGCAGAGGAATCAGATAACACTGTACCACAGTCTGTGAGAAACAAGGGATCAAACTGCGCCATGACACACACACACACTCAATATGAGTGTCACACATCATGCCACCTGCAGACACACCACACACAGAGACCAACTGACTGTTAAATGTTTGCATCAGATAGAAGAAAGGTTTTAAAATATGTGAACCTGAGATACACAACAAACTATTTCATGGTCACCAGTTCTCTTTCATTTTATTGTCTGCCACTCAGAGCATCGCTTTTTTATATTCGAAAATTATCCAGATGAGTTAAATGCTTCATAGTGAAGTGTTTGTTAACTGCCTTTTCTACTTTCACTGTTGGAAAAAATCCTTTCACAATCTCTTGCTTTTCCTTCTGTGAAAATGTAGAAAGATGCCATTACTGTTATTATGGGAAAGCTGGTTGTTGCAGCATCTCAAAGGTTTGATAAAAATCACTTAGCAGTCATGATCGAAACTGGGCCACAGTGGGAACAAGGGGAAAATACATTTGTTTAATTTAAAAGAAATGTGGCCTTTACCTCTTTGCTGACTGAGGTGTGGTTCAACATGGGGTAAAAACTTGATTAATGAATTCCCTGGAATCTGCCATTGAGATCTTTGTCTCAGGAGGTCAGCTTTACAAATCTAAGGCTGTGATTCTCCAAAAATAAAGGTGCATTAGTGAGTTGTTTCCCAAGGAGTTTAATTTTCTTGCAGTCATATTCATAAGGCAGGAGTCTGGCAAGTAAACCAACAGCTACAACCTTGCTGTACTGCTGAGGGAGCAAGGCCTGAAGGGGCAGTTAGGGTCATGAGCTTGAATAAAAAGATATGATCACAGATACAAGCAGCTGAAATACACTTCCATCGCAAAGTGTCTGGGTTCATCCTTGGGGACGAGGTGAGAAGCTTGGATATCTAAGAGATGTAAATCAAGCCATTAGAAGTGCTGTACTGTATGCCAAAGTTCTTTATCTATTTAAATGTTTGGCCTGGCTGCCTTTGCCACATTCACCAACTCTTGTGGTGTTGCAGATCCTGCCAATCCCACCTGCCCTGGAGTAACCTCAGCCTTTCCAGTCCCCTGACATACCACACCTGCTTTCACGCCTGTTCCCTATTCTCATATTTGGTCCTTCAGTGTATATATATATACTTGTCCACTTCCGTGCATTTGATGCCAGGTTGCTGCATCTTTCCAGCCTTTGTCCTGTGTTTTTTGAACCCTCAGTTCATTTTGTTCAGGTCAATTGTCTAAGCTTGTTGGCTCTCCTCAAATCCCTCTGGATTTAGTTTTTACTCCTGACAAACCATGATGTGGTTCCTTTAGAGGAGGAAATTACGGTGGCCGACACGGTCACAACACATGCAAAAGACACAACACATGCAAGACACAAACGCGGTATTGAACAAAACACATGCAAACGGAAAACGCTGCATTAATCAAAAAAACACATGCAAGACAGAAACGCGGCATTAAACAAAACACATGCAAAAGGAAAACGCTGCATAAACCAAAAAACACATGCAAAAGGAAAACGCTGCATTAACTGAAAACACATGCAAAAGGAAAACGCTGCATTAACTGAAAACACATGCAAAAG